CTTCCAGGCCACCGCGAAGCAACCAACGCCTCTCAACTGCTTGCAATTAATCGACTGCTTTGCAGCACCTTGGGCGGACGCAGTGAACCCAGAGCTGGAATTGTCGTTGGCCCACATCCTGCACAAAACCCAGCGCAAAGAATTGGCATTCGACGAATGTGTCGCCCAACTCTACGCTTTCTTCAAGTCGCCGATACTACGACCGCCTCGAAGCCCTTCCACACACGCTTCCTTTGTGTCGTTCCTGTTTGCCCCACTACATGGCGCTGTGTTTGCGGTGCAGGTATGTCGCTCACGTCATGCGCAGATTTTCATGCGATATTGTTCCTAGCACGTGCAAGCGATTCACAGGAGGCTTTTGCTCGATCAAGACACCGAACAGTACACACATTTATTCCTCGAGTGGTATTTCGCACTCACGGAAGACGAAGTGCTTGGAATGACGTCAACGAACGCCAGCTCGTGTCTTCAACGGTGGCTGCAGCCATGGCTTCAGTCGTGCTCATTTCCGCATTCGATTGACGAAACTTCGTTCACCCTGCCAGGTAGACCGTCGCCGTGCTGCATGCAATGCTTATGCTCTATTCGTTTTCACGCAGCGCTGTCCACAAATCTGTGTGTGATTTTTGACCAGTGTCGAAGCACGCCTCTGCTCCTTCACGCATTTGTTTTGTGCCATCACGTTGCCCACGGGCTGACTCACCACGCAAATGCTGTGCAAGACAGCACGTTGGGTCAAGTGAGTGCTGTTGGCGCGGGACTGCGCTGGCGCGTCCTGCAGCAGTGTCTGAGTCAATGCCTCTATTTTACCTGTCTGCTCAAAGTGCCCGGCAAGCTACACGTGGTAAGCGTGCGATCCAAAGCTGGCAAATATTCAATTCCTCGGTAGAATGCGATCGAATCGCTGGATGAGCTCATGAAGTTTGTCGCGATTGTTCACTTGAATACTCCCAAGGACAGCACGGTACGACGGTCACAAACACCGTGGCTGATGGCGGCTTGGCGCAGGATGCCCCCGTGATCCCGTACGACATCGAGGATGCTTGGATCGCGGCTTGGACTGCGTCCACCAAGTCCCACGCTGTCATGTCTATCTTGTCGTCGTTTCACCAGCTCGATCACCCAGACTCGCTGTCTGCATTTCGCACCTTGGTACGGAGCGACGTGTGGTACATGTACAATGGCATTTCAACGCCTCGTCCACCAGATGCTGTGCACGGCATGGAACAACGACCGATCCCGCATGTCGTTCTTGGCCCTCGCTCTTCAGGAACTGGACCACCTCGACGGCGACGACGCCCTGAAGCAAGCGATTCTTGTCCTGATGTGGGACTCGTACATTCGAGCGCAAATCAAGTCGATATTGGACTATTGGATTCAAGTGAGCACTGGCAAGCGATCCAACAAAGCCCTCGATCCCATAATTGCTCGAGAATTCCTCGTCCTTGTCCACCAACTGCTCGACGTCCTTTCCGACACGATCAAGCGTCCTGTCCTTGAGGTTTCCAAATCCCGCACGATGCTTTCCCAGCACGACCATGACGGCAACTGCGTCGCCACAACGGTCTTCAACTCGGATGATCCGCTCGATGTTGGCCAGTTGCTCACCCCTGTTGTGTGGACTGGCACCCCCAACGACGTGCTAAACATGTACAGAACCCACTGGCCATCATCCCCAATTCACTCGTCGCTCATGAAACAACTCGCACATCCCACGTCGACCCCGACCCAAGCCTCTGTGGACACACACCGCCAGGTTGTGTCCGTCTTAATCGCGTTCACCAGCTATTCCGAGACAATCGTCCCTCTACCGTCCTTGTTTGACGTGTCGAGTTTGTGCAAGGTTCCGAGCTTCAACGAGGATGCTGGAACACCCTCGACAGCACACGGTGAAGCTCGCTTTCAGGTGCGTGGCTGACTTTGGAAGGTGGTCGTCAACATGACGAGTGTAGTTCACGATGGCTCTATTGCGATACGACATCGCGATGGGCATGGCAGTCGCCGCATCGCTGCACTTGCCGCTCGATCAAATCAAACAAGACCATGCCGTGTGGCTGTACCAAGCGGGGAAGGATGCCCTGGCGGAAGAAGTGTTGGACAAAGTCCTGATTGATCCGGCGGTCGTGACACGGATGGGTCGCGTCGCCAGGTCGCGGCTTGCCCTGATCCTTTCGAGAATGCAATCCAGGTCCGAGTATGCCGTTCTCATGAGTCAGCTTCCGGCAGACTCGTGCGCATGGATCCGTTCGTCGGAAGCGCCGCTGGGACCAGGTACACAAATCCGTGCGACTCGACCATGGGTGTGTCATGTTGTTGTCGCGAGAGTAGACCCTCACGTGGCGCTGTTGGACACTGCACCATCGCTGGCCGCCACCAACGCGTTGCTACATCAATGCGTGCAATGGATGCCACCGGCGAGCAGCGAGCACAAAAAGAGTCTGGCGATGATTGCTGTCGTCCAGCTCTTGCTGAGCCAGCTCAAGTCGTCCGATGGGGTGGTGCCGACGTCTCGTCGAAAGGAATGAAGTTGTAGTGCAAACGTATTAACTTGCCAGACAAAATTTCGACACGTGTGTTGGATTAATGTATGTAGAACGATTCGTTGTGGACAGCGGCGTCGCCGTCGACGCTCCAGGACAGGTCGACGTCGAGGAATCGCGGGTTTTTCCAGTTGCGCTTGACGCCCCACGTGCCACGAATGACGCTGCCAACATCGACGGCAAACGGGTGCTTGACATGAAAAAATACTTGTTGCCAGTGGGTTGGTGTGGCTTCTGCGCCTGTCGAGAACCACAGCGGGTTGGCCAGCTTGTCCTGAAATCCAATGTCAAAGCTGCAGAGGAACCCATGACACGTCGTCGCGCGGGTCACGTCGAGTTGGAAGGAGGTCGTGAAATCCAAGGCCGCCACGTCGACGCTCGGGATGTCGATCGTGTTGAGGAGCGCACGAGTTGAAATGACGTCTGAAGCCGGCACAACCTCGATAAACGCGTCCTTGGTCTCGACGCGGTCCCGGACAGCGTGCATGTTGTACCCGTACACGTCTTCCCAAAACGCGAGGCGCGCCGAGGAATCGTGGATGGCTTGCTACAACGCCACACCGCAAAATATGAATTTTTTCATGAGCAACGGGACATCGCAACGTACGAGATGCATGGTCGATTTGTCTGGAAACAAAAGGCCGCCGGAGACGAGCCACTTGTCGCGGGCAAACAAAACGGTGTCGAGCATGGACTCGTACAGGAGACAGTACCCCATCCACTCGGAAATGATTATGTCGACGTGCTGCACGGGTAACTCGATCTCTTCCACCTTGCCTCGGATGATCTCAATCACAGATCCGAATCCGTTGTCGACCACGATTTGCTTGGCCGTGTCCCCCATGTCACTGCAGTCGATTCCAATCACTTTGGCCGCACCAGCTTGCGCCGCAAACATGCTCAAGATACCTGTGCCGCACCCGACGTCCAGCACAACCTTGCCTTCAAACACGGCGCGATTGTTCAGGATCGCGTCGCGGTACGAGTCGGTGCGCACGCGGTCGGTAATCATTTCCTTGTGGATGCCCACTTGAGAGTACGAATCAAAGTAGTACGTATCGTTGTCTTCTTCCTTGGGTTTCGACGCGTGTTTTTCTTCGGCGAAAGCTCGTACAATGGTCGAGTACTTGCGCATTTGGTCGCGGCACTGTTCGAGTTCCGCCTTGAGGGCGGCATTCTCTTCCTCGAGGGTCAATGGAACGGCAGCAGCCTGCATCTCGGAAGCAGCATGGTCGTCGTCGCTGTCGTTGTCACCATCTTGGTTGAACAATTCCATGACGCTGCAGAACATTGGATCTTCTTTGATCACAGGAATCAACAACGCGTCGTCGTCCAGGACAGATGCCCCTTGCGCCGAAAGCAGCGACAACGTGTCGGCAGCCGAGTTTGACCGGGCAAAGTTGATCAACTTCACCAAGCTGTAAAACTCCAAACGCAACGCCACCGCTTGCGCGCGAAAGTCAAAGCCATGGGCATCCTTGGCATGGACAAGGACGTGCGGGAGCTGGTTGTGTTGGAAGTCGCAGAAGAAGCACTTCATGGACTCTCCGTCTTCCTCCCAGTCTTCCCACGTCTCCTGTTCACCGTCCTCGCTTCCGCACACGTCCTCGTCAGGCTCATCGTCGCTCAAGGCCACAGCGACGTCCCGTTTCGGGATCGACGTCGCCATCTTTTCAACTCGGCCACCAACGCTTTCGTTGGCGAACCGATGCAAACATTCGATTGGCTGGCCGGGCCATCCAATCATATTCACTTCCTTGGCAAATCAACGGGAACCTCTATATTTTAATACAGAGAGCCCAGCCAATGCCACGTCATCATTCGGGACCAGAGTTGGCCACCTTACTTTGGATGCTCGACGTCATGACAGGTCGGATGTAGTGCGACGAGAAGTGGGCATCCGCAATCAGCGTGCTCGTAAACGCAGTGTGTATTTGGATGATACCGACCGGCCGCCTTGCTCATGTGGAACTTACCCAAATAGGCATGGTATCGAGCGCACGTCGCCACTGTTGCAAGGAGAGTGTTGCGCGACCGCGGACTGCGTCAGTGTATCTTGCTACGGTAGTAAGAAGTACATTGCTATGGAGTGCGACGGAAGAGTCGGCATACATAGAAAATCGAGACGACGATGTCGAGACGGCAACGACGGCTAAAATTAGCATCGATCGATAGTTGATTGGCCCGCCATCGTGACCAGACAAGGCGCTTCAAGTTTAGTTAGTTGTCGTTGCGACCATGTCATCGTCGTCGACAGGAGACTCGTCGGCGGCGGCACTAAACGAGAAGCCGAAGAAGCTGACAAAGCGATCGAGCACAAGAGAGAAGAAAGTCAAGATCAACATGACGTTGGCCAAGTACGAAGTAATCAAGAAAATTGCGCGGGATCGCGGGTGGAAGCAAATCACTGACGAAACAGACAAGGCGGGACTCGCCAGTTGTAACTTGCACTGGATCGATATCCCCGATTTCGTCAACACGTTCAAAAGCATGCAGCCGTATCAAAAAGTCAACCATTTTCCAGGTGCGTTATCCCAGCATGTCGCGAGCTCCCTGACAAGTCGTGGGCAAGCATAGGGATGTCCAACCTGGCCCGCAAGTCCAAATTGGCCCGCAACTTTCAGCGCATGATGAAGCTGTTTCCAAACGAGTACGACTTTTGCCCCAAGACGTGGATCCTTCCGTTCGACTACACGGACTTTGCCCAACAGTTCAACTCGGACGGGACGTCGAACCGCGCCTTCATCATCAAGCCCGACCACAGCTGCCAAGGACGAGGAGTTTTCTTGACGAAGAACTTGAAAGAAGTCAACAAGACGGACATTTTCGTGGCGCAGCGATACGTGGCGCACCCGCTGCTGCTCGGGGGGAAAAAGTTCGATCTGCGCATTTACATCATGATTGCGTCGTGCGCGCCCCTGCGTGTGTATTTATTTCAAGACGGCCTTGTCCGCATGTGCACCGCTGCATATACTCCCCCCAACGCAGAAAACATGGAGCAAAAATTCATGCACTTGACCAACTACGCGATCAACAAGCTCAGCAACAACTTTGAAAAGAACAAGGACGAAACTGCGGATGGAGAGGGCAGCAAACGGTCGCTCAAGTGGTTCATGTCGTGGTTGCGGGAAAAGTACGATGACGCAGCGGTCGACTTGCTGTGGCATCAAATTGGCGATATCTGCCTCAAGTCGATCTTGTCTGTGCAGCCGACTCTGAGCCAGGAATACCAGAGCACGTTTGCCAAGTTCTCGCGAGGGTCGTCCAAGCAGCCCCGGGGAGACGTAATGACAGCAACGAACGGCGACGACGACGACGCCGCCGCAACCAACCCAGGCAAAGCCTGCGCCAACTCGTCCTGCTTTGCTATCCTTGGCATGGACGTCCTCATCGACGACAACCTGAAGCCGTGGTTGCTCGAAGTCAACCACCTGCCCAGCTTTGGCTGCGATTCTCCCCTGGACTGGAATGTCAAGGAGCGCTTGATCAACCAAGCCCTTGACATCATGCAAATCTCGGCAACCGACAAAGAGTTGTACGATGCCGAGCACGCCAAGAACCTCCATCGTCGACTGTATGGCGAGCAAATGGCAGGGGGCGGCGAAGGTGCGCAGGACGAGGGGAGCGATCATGGCCCTGAAACAGACACGGATGCGACCCCTCGGGGTCAGCTGTCCAAGGAAGCGCTGACGACGACCCTGCTCAAGTTTTACAGCTTGGTCAACCCGGAAAAGCCACCGTCCGACATTGACGCTATCGTAGTAAAGTTCCTGGACAACCAAGACGAACTGCACAAGAGTCTGGTCGTCAAGTACGGCCGGGGGGTGTTTGATGGTGTGGCCGTGAAGCCGACCAACAACGACACCACGGCAGTCGTGGACGAAGGCTTGGTAGATTTTGTCCGGTTGTATCCGCCGCCCGTCCCGACCGCCCAGAACGCCATTTACAAAACGATTTTGGACGCGTGCCAAAGCAACTTGGACGAGCAACTGCTGCGGCTGACCGCCCCCCTTCACCAGAAGAAGGGTGAAGACCTGAGCAAGTTGCCACCTCTCGTGAAAGGCGGCACGAAGAAAGACCTGGGCCGCGACTGCTTTGGGTTCACCGGCACAGACAAGGTGCAGCAACTCGAAGTCAAGGACAAAAAGCCGCTGCCAGTCCCTGGTCCGGCGCAAATAGCCGCCGCGTCCCGGCTGATGATGGGTCACTCGAGCCAGAAACTGTCGGTACTCGTGCCGACGCGGCCATCGTCGCAAAACTCGACGGCGAACCCAGCGAAGAAAGCTCCAGTTCAGTACGGCCTCGAGTATCGAGAGAGGCTGGAAACCATGAAGAACAAACCGACCATCGCCATGACGCAAATCACGTTTGGCGGATTTGGCTAATGCCCGCGTCAAGTTTAGTAGGATTCGTGTACAAATGCACATCGCTTGCTGTTCGCTTCGATGTCTCCGCCCTGCTGTACACTTGTCGTCGTGGGGAGAGGGGGCGAGCACGATGTGGCACACAGCCCCAGGAACCGCATGATCTCGTCGGGTGGATTGCCTACTGTCGGATGTCCCTGTCATGGTCCAGCGAACCAAAGAAAGTGGCCCGACTCCCTTGTCTGTCGTGCGGTCACTCCGCTGTCGTCAATGTCACGCACAGGAGGACACAAACCGAAGAAGTTTATGTTGCCGCAGTACGTTTGCCCTGTGCCGACATTTCACCTTTTAGTCATTCCAAGGCGATACACAACGGCGAATTCTGATACCCCTCCGCCACAGGCGACGCCACGCGGGGCCGCGCGCGGCTTCCAATCCCTGCAAGCGCTGAATTGTCTCTGTGCTGAAGAATGCCAAAGACTACAATTGAACATTTCGACCGACCGACACCACCCCGTGGTCAGCCACGTCGGCTGACCTCAGCGACGCGATCAGCGTGGATGCGACGTCAGGTTCATGCTGCATGTAGCAAACGGAATGCGCCCCAGCGGGGGGAGCCGGCGCCCGCTCGGCCCCGACACGTTGACGGCCGCCCCAAATCTTGTTTGCCGCGATGAATGTGTGTGTAGCAATCCCCCGACATGGACGTATTCAATTTCACAGGTTTCCATAACGCATGCGATTGGTATACAAGTTCAACTGGAGATGGTATGCGAATCGTCCTTGTCGCAGTGGGAATATAAGAAGATGGAGGTTTTCCTCGCCGTCCCACTGTTCGGGTTGTTCCAAGCCGTGCGGCACCCACATTGGAACACATTCGATCTTGACGTCGGGCGAGCGAGCCGGCGCCGAGCCACTTGACAATTCGACGAGTTGCCGCACGAAAAGAACGGTGCTGTCCAGCATGAATACTCGCCCGATGCGCACGGCACAGAATGCAAGGCGTAAGCGGCCCCTCACCGACACAGACATCATTCGTCAAGATTTGAAATCCATTCGAACCGACATGTTGGCCCTGCAAAGACAAGTCGGCGACCTCCAGTACGCGTTGCACGCGATGGTGAAGATGCGCCAAGAAGCCGCGGGGAGGAAGCGCCAGCGCCTGCCAACAGCCCCATCCAACCCGAGCGACCCCAGCCAACCTATTTAATCCGACCATAACGCCATCATACGAAGCTGTATTATGTTATCACGACTGGAGGCATTGCCCCGCGACAGCACACACTACAGTCAACACAGTCACGCCGACAAACGAAGGTGTTGGAGATGCATTTGGCTGCATAGTGGTCGTTGGCTGTCCGCCAAGCGGGGACGGCGACTTCGACGGAACCGCGCCGGTATTCGCCAACGCAGCCTTGACGTTAACTCCGGCTTGGTACCCGGCGTACATGATAAATGCATACGGGTTCACCGTGCCTTCCTTCATCACACTGGCGTCTGCAACGAACACGTTCGTCGTGCCGACAACCCTGAGCGACGCATCTGCGCATCGGTTCTTATCGGTGGCGTCACCAGATGCATAGCAGCTTCCGCCATAATGGTTGGTGCCGATTTTGTTCTTGGCCACCCAATCTGGCACGACATCGGCCTTGGCAGGGTTCACGCGGCTGGCTCCTTGACCTTCCAGCATCGCCACGACCTTTTCTACATACGCCGCCAGCGCCGCCCCATCCCCCGCCGAGCTAAAGTACAAGCTCTTGTTCACGTCGCCGTGCCACGTGCCATCCGGTTGAAATCCCGCCTGGTCGCGGGACTTTGGATTGTTCAGGTATATCGCCACGCCGAGATGGTTTGGGGCATCGCCGCTCATGCCATGACAAAATCCAGTCACTTGGAATTGGTACTCGAAGCCGTCAGCTCCCGTGGCGGTGTCGTACGCGACAAAGACGGGGTCCGGGGCAGCGTACGGACCACTTCGTTTCTGGTCAAAGTATTGGGCCAGCACGGCGGCACCAGGAGCCGTGTGCTTGAACGATGTCATGTTTGGATGGCTGACAGTGAGCAGCACTTCCGTCGTGTCAAACAAGTGGTGCCCCACGTTCTCGTTGACCACCCACGACGACGGATCGGCCGACACAGCTGGAAACTGCGCTTTCCCTGCTACAAGTTCGAGCTGCGACTTGGGGCCGATGCCGCTTTGAATGAGCACGTGGGGTGTACTCAAAGCCCCTGCTGCCAGCATCACGACCCCTCGTGCAGACAACGTCACGGTGGCTGCAGCGCCTTGGACCGTGTACGAGACAGAAGTCGCTTTTCCGTTGACATGACGAACGTGGTTGACGCGTGCGTTCGTGACAAGGCGGTAGTTGGGGCGACCTTTGGCCACGAGCCCGTGAAATGTCTTGGCTGGGCAGTCTCGCAGCCCGTCCTTGATTGCAAATGGCGGATGCCCGTACGTTTTGGCCTTGCTGTTGCGGCTATCGTTGAGAGATGGCACTTCTTTGTAGCCATTGGACCCAAGCGCCGCGGCCAGGATTGTGTACGCTTCTTGGAGGTACCGTTTGTTGTCGGTGGATGGGATTTCTGTGGTCGAGAACAGCTTCTGGATCTCGGTGAAGCCGGCGTTGATTTCCGCGACGGAATTGGGCCAGTTGGCCTCCTTTGCATACGCGTCGGGGGGTACGAAGTACAGCATCCCATTCAACGACGACGACCCGCCAATGCCTTTGCCAATGTACAATGTCTGTGGCGACGCAATCCACTCGGGGTGATACTTGTGCGTCGGGTCGGGCGTGAACGCCACGGACGTGTATTGACCAGGAATGTCAAACCGGGTGAAGCCAGTACCTGCAGCTTCATCCGACACATCGACGCCGCCACTCGCGGCGACGGTCGCAATGCCAGCTTCCAGTACCAACACAGACACGGTCGGGTCACGCGACAGGTACTCCGCTGCCACGAGGCCACCTGGTCCACTACCAACCACAACCACATCGAAGGGATCTAGCAGAGAGGGCTCGCTTAGGACGCTAGTCGCCGCCAGCGCCAGCGAACGGACAGCTCGTCCAATGTGCATGGTAGATTGTGTTGTACTATGTTGCCTTGTGCTGTTGCATTTTTTGGGTCGCAGGCGGGCGAAGCCATGGCACGACCGAGAAAGCCAGCTCATACGACGGATATATCGTACGACCGGCGATCTTCGCCTCTTTTGGCGAAAACGTGCTTGAAATTGAGTAAAATTTGAGTTTACAAACACATTGTGAGCGAAATCTGCTAAAAAACTACATGAATGCATTCTCCCTCCCCGTATCTTGGGAAGGTTTCCATTTTCGCCGGATGATCCGACCACATTGGGAAGGATTCGTCATCGTCGCCTGCAGCTCGGTGCAACTTTGGCATGAAGCCAAGTGCCGTCCGTGGCTCCATCTGGCCCCCGGACAAGCTGCGTGGCCATTGCCAAGGCCCCGCAATCCATACACCACGTTATTCGTTGGATGCTGTTCGTTGCATGTATCTACATAGTCGGGCGAACCACACCTCTCAAGACAACACACACGCTCCCACGACGGGATATATCGTGTGGATGCGATACCAGCGCGCCTAGTGTCGTGCGAGCAAGAGCGGGACACCGATGCTGCATGAAGTAGTGTCGTTGGAGTGCATACGCTGCATGCATACGAGAAGGGAAACATCGAACGCAACAAATCGCCGTGGTGTGCTCGTATTGAATGATGGGCTCGGGAATAGACTGGTGCTCTCGCCCTTCTCTCAGTGTGGTCAATGCATTGCTGGCTCTGCATGCAATACTCGCTATCGTTGGCCACGTTACACAGACGATTGGGATGACGTGGATGCGCGATTAGCCGAGTGTTTTGCTCAATAATACTTGACTTTGCGCTTCAGCGTCGTGCAAACAACTGGCGTGCCAGACACGATGTGCTGTGAAACAGCGACACAGCGTTGTGAATTGGGGATATGGAAACCAGCGGAGATACCTCGGACATGGTAAAGTAGGACTCGAAGCTCTGGAGAAGCAACCGCTCACGACGGGGGTCTCGCGGCGAGTGGGTCAAAATGGCGACGCCATCGATCGCGCACAGCTCGTAGATAGTGACCAAAAGCTCTCCTTGAAGGGCTTCAAAGAGCAAATCACTGCCAAGAATCACGTCAAAAAGCCCAAACTCGTCCTTGATGGCCTGGATGCTCTCTTGGTTGCCCCACACAAGCGAGCGGATGGGCGGTCGACTTCGGTGACAAATCACACAACTATGAGATAAACGAAGCGTCATCGAAACAGCAGCGAGACCTGGGTAGAAGGTGCTGATTCGCGTCGAGGTTGGTTTGAATCAGCGCGAGTGCGTCGGGGTCTTTATCGGTGGCCACGACAGTCGCATTCAACAAGGCCGCGGCAATGGAATTCATACCAGTGCCCGCACCAAGCTCGAGCACCTACGAGCATGAACAAGTGAGTTTCGACGCACAAGGAGGTTTCAGGCAGGGAAGGTGAGACTTTTCGGCCATGGAGCATCGAGATGTACGCAGGGTTTTTCATGAGCTGGAGCATTGCTTCGGCCGCGTGCCAGACCGCGCTACCCGTTCCTCCCATACCCTGGTAGTTTTGTTTGATTGTCATTGGCCCGAAGTTCCGAATCTTGAGCCCAAGCAGCCCATTCCTGCATGTATCGCGTGAGAGGCGTGCATGAGGCTACGCCAAGCTATACCCTGATTCACGTTGGAGGGGAGCAGGGGTTTGTGTTCGATCCGAGGCGCAGTCTTCCTTTTCAGTTGGTGTATGGGGGGGAATCACTTCCTCTGAATATGCAAACCGTACGCTGCGTGGTGGCGGCGGCGGCGTCGGCGCATTCGGTTGTCCTTGCATGCCGCCTGCTGGCATCGTTTCTTACGTATCCGGCGCTGTAAAACATCCGGATAATACGCCGAATTTCGAAGTGCCGAACGTGCGCGATATCGACAGTGGGATGTGGACAATTTCATCGTCGCCCGGTCGACACTAGCGTTCGCAGTCCAAATCACCGTATCGGTCGCTGCACCGCCCTCGCTATTCATATTCTATTGTGAAAATCTGCAGCGTCGGGCGATGCATGGCATGGGAGCCACGCACCACCCGTTATATATCCCACTACGGCCTTTTCTGCCCCATTTCGGGTCGACTAGAACTTGTCAACAATGCGTGGGGCACCACAGTGAAATTCAAAGCCTCACCCTTGAATGGGTGCATATCTTTAGGGGTAAACTTGCAGCGTGTGCTGCACGCAGGTTGCGACCGTACAAATTGCTGGGGCAACGCAAACAACACGTACGCGGCGGTGTTCACTCGGCTCGTTGGCAACCGTGGCGATGTGGTCAGCACGCCCCCTGCCTGAACCGATGTAACATTTCAATTTGAGTCCTATGTGAGATAAGCTGCGCGATGAGATCATGAGCTGCGCACGCCGTCAAAGCAAATCGGGGATGCTTGCGAGCATCCAAGGATAATTGTGGATTCCTCCCTGGTTCGCCTCGTCCAGGTTGGTAATGGAATCGTACATTTCGCCAAACGTTTAAAACGGTAGTCGATGATGAGAAGAACGTGGTATGGGACGTCTCGAACGTCGTGAAATCGAAGTTCCACTACGATCGAATGAAATCAAGTTCAAAAGTGCTCACTTCGACACTTTTACGACAGGGCGCGATGGGGTGGAGGCGCGTCGTCCCGGTTGTCATCGCCTTCGCGGCGCATTGCTGTAGTAGCGCCGACGTCAAGCTGGTTCGTTGTTCATACGCAGCGAGTTGAGTCCTTCCTCACGATATGGTCGTGTAGCCAGTGGACTGGCGAGCGAATACGTGCGGAGGGAGCTTCATTTCAGATAGTACCGAGCTCGGATGCGCCATCGATCGATGCGAATGCTGGGAGTACATTTCCGAGTGCGACACGAACTACATGTGCGAAGCGTACTTTACCAACGGTACCAATGTGTGTCAGGGGCGGTGTCGTCTGTCAGGTACGACATTGACGGGTGTCTTGAGATCTTGCGTCGATGATCGCGTTTTGACATGTGTAATAGCATTTGGCACGGCTCTCAACGTGTTCGGAATGCTTCTCATCTTTGGTTTTCCCATTGGGATCTTTATATACCACGTGGTGAGCGTCCGCAAGCAGAATCGGCTGGCCGACGATTCCTCGACCAAAGAGATCGATCAGGTAGAAATCCGGGGCGATGGTCTCGTAGAGCAAGTACAGCAGCAACATGTCGTCGATCGGATGCTGCTTCGTCGGGGTCGAAGCACCCAACGCCGCAACAGCGCCGCCACGTCCTACGTTGCGGTGACCGAGCATTCTTCGTTCCGAAAACCGTCCTTCCTTTCTCACGTTCGGTTGCGATCCGAGTCGAAACCGAGCTCCCTGGACCCGATTCTCGCAGAGGAAGGCAGCGGATACATGTTGCATTCTGAAGCGCCCACGACCGTCATGGGGAATCCGAGTGTGATCCCAGAAGAATCGATCGACCATGGTCACCAGAGCAAAGAAGATGTCCTGAAGAGGTTTGGATGGCATCGACTTGCCGGCACGTCCGTGCTGAGAGTTTCCACCGTAGGTATTGCGACTTGACCAAGTTGACCGCGGGAGCAACCAACGGTGCCTTCATCGTCCGAATGAATCCGCAAACGTACCTGGAGACCATGCATCGAGGTTGGAAACTTCCCTCGTTGTCCTCATGCTGACTATCTGTAGCTGCGCTGCCTCTGATTTTCCTCCTCATGGGCGGCATCGTGTTGGCGTCGCTGCTGCTCGCTGTGTACCCGCTGCAGCTCAAGTCAACGTACGCGCGGTTGCAACCGGGGGACTTGGCGTACTTGAACTGTTCCGTGAACGAGGCCGAGTGCACCGAATTTGACTGGGTCGTGTTGGACGGATCGAATGGAACCCAACACCGACTCTCGTTCACGTCGGACGAGTTTCCAAAGACCCCCGACGTCCTCCGCATCGAAATGAACTTGGAAAACACAACCCAGAAACAAACCCCCGGCGCGTACGTGCTGGGAAATTACCGCCTCAGTGTGTACGCGGACGGCGCGTCGAAACCGCTCGTGTCCGACTACGAAAACAAGCTCGTCACAACATGCTCGTGCGTCGACAACAAGTGCCAAGACGTATCGTGCTCGACGATTCCACTCGTTGGCATCAACATCAAACGGTTTGGCGCGTCCATGTACGACCTGAGGAGCAGGCGGTACATCGTGGAGATGGACTTTGACACGTCCGAAAGCACCCTCGAGCGCGCCACTTTTCCCGCCTACTCGTTGCACGTCGAAGTGTTGGAAAACCCGTACGAAATGACAGGCCTCGCCATCCAGTGCATCCTCGGTTGCTTCAACATGGCGCTGCTCGTGCATTTCGTGTACTCGATCAATGTGCACTACGTCCGGCGCCACCCGACCGCGCTGGACGTGCCCATCCCGCGCCGGTGGGTGTACCACCTGAGTTTGGAACGCAAGCTGTTTGTCATGATTCTGACCGCGCTCGCCATTGAGAACAATCCATTCATGATCACGGTCGCGCTGCCATTCTTTGGCCCACCCGCCGACGCCTACTTTGTCTTTCGCAACGTGTGGGAAACCCTCGTGTACGTGATCGTGCTCGGCTCGCTCCTCACCATCATCGACGCGTACCGCAAAGACAACAAACAGTTCAAGAACGGCGCGTCCGTGGCTGCTCTCGGCCCGCGCTTTGTCGCGTCAAAGCTCTTCATTGTGTTTGTTCTCTTGGCCGTCCGCCTCTCGGTTTCGTTGGCGTTGGAAGCGTCGTTTGAGGTCACAGTCAACATCGATCAGTGGATGGCATCGATGGATCTCGGTCTTGTCGTCGTGGGGGTCACGGCGCTGGTGGGAGTTGTCGTCCACGTGAACCAAGTGCTGAATCGCCAACGGTACAGCGAAACGCGGTATTTGTCGCTCAACTTTCGATACCTGACCCTCGTGACGTACTCGATTTTGGCTGTACTGCTCATCAATTTGGTCTTCTTCAGCGCATATGCCCAGGTGTCGACGTTCAAACCAACTGCGCTTCGCACGTCCACGACTGTGTCCGAAGTCTCGTTCTCGATGCTCATCAGCATGGGGGTCATTGCGTTCTACCCGCCACGCAAGCCGCAGCGCGGCCAAGTACCGCGCGGGTACGTGATTCGGGAAAAGCGGCAATTTGCGTCGACTCCCACTGGCTTGTCACCTGTTGCTGGTGCTGCTGTCGAATCGTCGCCGTCGATTGCAATCGAGCCCACGCCTTTGCGTCCACGGGACGTTTTCTTCCGCCCGCCTGTGAACAACACGCCTCTTCGCCGCATGCCTGCCTTCCGTGCAAAGCCGATCTCGGCACCGCATCACATATTCTGCATCGAAACAGCATGCCTCCTGTTCAACTGCTCGCGCCACGCGTACGACCGTCCGTTGCTGTGCCAACCCACAGACATCGACGAAGCGGGCTGCCCGACGCACGCCGAGTCGGAGTACGTCAGTGCCGCCGCGCTCTTTCGAGACAACTTGCGCGAGGTTGCGTATATTCACGATGAAGCCACGGATACCAACTGCTTGGTGCTCCAAAGCGACCGGAAAATCATCTTTGCGTTCCGCGGGACTGCCAGTACAGCCAACGTCAAGACCGATGTGCAGTACGCCCTTGAAGAAGTGCCGTGGAAGTCGACAACGCAATCCAACGCGACGACGGCGGTGTATGCGCACCGCGGTTTTTACAACGCCTACTTGACCGTCCAGAAACAGGTCCACGACGTGTTGACGACGCTCCTCGTCGAGTACAGTCTGCATGGCCTGTCGGCAGACACGCACGTTCAAATCTACTGCACGGGGCATTCGCTTGGCGGGGCGCTCGCGACTCTGGCATCTCTCGACATCAAGCTGACGTTTGGCCATCGCGTGATCATGTACAACTTTGGCAGTCCCCGCGTCGGGACGCACACGTTTGCCCGATTCTACAACCGCGAGATCCCGCTGGCGTTCCGCCTGGTCAACGAAGGGGACATCGTTGTCGGAATGGTACAAACCGTGACCACCGACTGCTTTGGCCAAGCCAAGAAATTTTACAAGCACATTGGGACAGAAATCGTGCTGGATGGCCGCGTGAACGGCGACTTTATCGTGCGACCGACGTTTACGGAGAAGAACCTGATCGTCGAAGTTCGGCGCAAGGCCGCGCGCCACTTTCTCAACGGGTACAAGCGCAACCTCGACGCGATGATGGAATGTGTACTCGAAACCGAGAAGCGATTGGGGGAACTCCACGTTCAGACCGAGCTAGAGAAGGCTCTTTACGGCACCTTGGACAATCGGGACGAGTGGCATCTCGCCGATACGTTGGATGAACCAGTTCTGGACGACCTCAGTGAACGACGTGGCGCCGACGTCGAATATTTTATTTGAATGCAAGGGTCATCCGTTGCATCCTCCTGCAAGGGTATCATGCGCCCGCTTCCCGTCATCAGGCCAGGGCTTGTTGAAGCTTCGATGCCATCGGCATGTGGAATGCTGTGGCGTATTCAAGCTCGTCTAGTCCGGCGAGGATTCTGAGCGGCGATTGCGGCGCATTTGATGTTGGTGTCGATCCATTATCCGTATCCGCATAAACGTTCGAAACGACCTCATAATTTTGGAACAGCCTGGTTGCCACACACGTGCGTGAGGACCGGCGGGGTGTGCGACATCGACACCACTCGCTCTTGATCACGAGAGGACCCGGCAGCTTTGATGGCTACCTCTTCGCCTGACAAAATCAGGAAGGATAGCTCGGATGGTAGCAATAGCTCTGATAATAGCGACGACAGTTCGTCCAGCGGGGACAGCTCGTCGTCGTCGTCGTCGGATTCGGATTCGGACAACGACACGGCCAAAGAAGACAACTCGAACAACCAGTCCCTTCCACTGACCAACGAAGAGAAAGAGAGTCCATGCAAGCCATTCGACCCGAATCCGACTCGCGCCGCGGCTCGGCTGAAGGAATCCACCACAACCGGCCTCATGGCACTCAACACGCAAAAGCGAGACCGACGCACCATCGAGCAAATTCAGTCTGACCTTCGCATCAAGAGAGGCGCGGCTGCTGCAAATAATGCGAGCGCCAATCGAGTTGTGCCGAGACGACCCACGCCGTCCACCGTGTCGCCTGCGCATCCTCCCTTGGCTGAGTCATCTGCAATTCCATCCCTCGACATGTCAGTCAAGCCAAAGGGCAACACCAAGACGGTAAAAGGTCGATTGGAGTCAAAGTTGGCAGGTCGTGGGACCGGTTCCCGTGCAAAAACTATTGCGAAGACCACAGCGTCGACTAAGTCGCAGCCGACGACATCCGTGGTCACAAACATCAGCCGCTCAGCGATTGCGTCCATGTCCAGTAGCCAGACGACGCCCCCCGAGACGTCGCCGACCCAGACAGATCTCATCGAAGGTAGGCTTGGAATGTTCTCGTCTCACGTCCTCATGGGACTCGTCTGGCAGATCCACGATCGAATTCGAAAGTTGTTCGCACGATCGTCAAAGCACTGCAGCGGTATGGCGACCTCATGGACGGCAACTTGTACCGCGAGCACCAGTCCACGTTCTGCGACGAGTACAAGCAACCCAGTTTCTTGGTGCGTGCGAAGCTGTCGTTTCACTTGAAGGTGACGGAAGATACGCTGGCTTCGATTGCCAAGGAAATCATTGTCCAATGCGACACAGCGATGGCACAAAAGGTGGAGAACGTCAAGTTCGCGGACGTCGATATCAAGCCGAACCAGTTTATCGACCGTCTGTACGAGAACCTCAAGCTCCGCGTCGCGGTGCAGCGGGCGATGGCTGCTGCCAAATTCAAGCCCGGGTACGTCCTGTCGAATTCTTTTGAAGTGCCTGAACGTTAACGGACGGGTAATGTTCTCGATTCAGAGTGGCGCCGCACGTGCTGGCAACGTCGCCGTCAGCATCGACCTTGTCCGACTTTGGCATCGACCAAATGCCGATTTGGAAGAGCGCTGAAGATGAAAATGGATGGAACGTCGAGAAGGACCGCGCGTTGCTCGTTGGTGTTTATATTCATGGGTATGATCACGTGTTGGATGGCCTGTGCTTGCTCAATCGTTCGTGTCGGCCGCTAATGGTGCAAACTACGGGTAGGTTTAGTGCGTGGGAAGAAATTCTGTCGGACAATTTGCTGCCACTGGAAAAACAGCGAGCGCTGAAAGGCAGTCGACTGAAGACCCGCGCCGAAAATTTGCTGAAAAAACTGCCTGCTCCATCCAATGTCAAGGTACTGAACGGTGGGGGGTCCACCATGATGGACCGTGCCGCCGAGCGCGCCAAGCGAAAAGCAGAAGAACCTCCGTCGGCAAGTCCCCCACCGCAGCCAAATCCAGACTCGATCCGACGAGAACATGTCCAGAGCAGATTCGGCGGCAAGCAACTGCAGCTGGTCACGCGGACTGCGACGGCCAGCGAAGACGAGGAAGGTGAAGTGCGCAGTGACAGCGACCCCAGCGACAACGACACCCATCCCACTCCTGTCTCTGGCCAACGGTACGGTGGCAAGGACTTCCGCATCCCAAAGCCCAAAAAGGACAGCGGGAAAAAGACGTCGAAGAAAGCGAAGGACGTGAAAACGGCCGTGCCCGCGCTGCTCTCGGCTGAGCAACTTGAGGCAAAGTGGGGGCCGAAGGACCGCTTGAAACACATTCGAACGACGCTGAAGAAGGTGCGGCGCATTGCCGCATGGGCCCAATGCCAGTCGGACGACAACGTCGTGTTAGAAAAGGTGGCCAAGTACATTTGCGAAATCGGCGCCGGCATCGACCAAGTCGTGGTGGCAGATGGCGGCGACGGCGTCCAGAGCGACGAGCTTGCGACCTGTCTGTGGACGCACGCCGCCACGTTTACGCCGTTCTCGGCCGTCCAATTCGAACGGCTCTACGACGACATGGCGTGCGATGCTGCTGCCTTTCAAGCGTGACCGTCTGCTACATACCACCCCTTAACGTATTCTCACATTCTCACGACTATAAAAATAAATTATCATCTGCAACGCGATGTCTGGGCAATATCGAGACGGAGTTTGTTTCATTTGTCCTACCACTACTCTTGCCGGGATCGTTTCAGCGCTGGACCGTCGCCTTCGGGGTCGGGGGTCGGTCGCCGTGCCGACGCATGCTGCTGGCTTGGGATGGATGCCATGGCGGTCTGGACACCAGGCACTGTCACAAATGCTTGCACGACAAAGCGCGCAGTGGTGACGGCGACGCCCAAGTGAGTCAGGAGGTCTTCCAGGACACGTTCGAGTGCCGACGGGACCGAGAGGAGCGCAAGCATGTCCGCCACCACTTGCCGAGTCATGTGCCCGACAAAAGTACAGAAACTGTCGAGGAACGACGCTGCGTTGGCCGGTTCGACATTCGTTCCCCGAATAAAAAAAACCACGAGTTCGGCAGCAAATGGCGACATGGATTGCACAATCCGCGCCATCAAATTTGTCGACGGCGGCACCATGGGATGATTGAAGCGAGGCAGCGAGTCCACGTAGTCTCGGAACGCAGACATCATCTGGTTGCTCCAGTCGCGGTTCGTACCTGGGGCCATCGAAGGCAAGGCGTTTCCATCAATCATTTGGACACCGACGTGCTGGACGAAACGAAGCAACGCGTCGCGGGAGCCGGCGAGCACACCAAACAGGTCCACGGCCGACAACGTTTGAACCACATGCTGTCCAAACGATTCAAAGTCCCACCGACGGCCAGTCGGCGGCTGGGACGGCAAAGCGCCTTGTTGCGTGGGGTAAATCAAGATAGGGATCGTCGCTTCGAATTCAATACCGTTGCCATCTCCCGACGTCGATGGGGACGTCGTGACATTGCCAAACTGACGCATCTCGGCCAGCAGGGTACTGAAGGAGTCTGAGCGCCGAAGTTGTTGTTCCAGAAAGTCGCCGAGATTGCCTTGGGCACTAGGCGGCGACGACGAGTGAGCTCCAGAGGACGACAGCGCAGTAGACGGCGGTGCCTCGGATGGGGGTCGTGCCCAGTTCGTAGTTGTGGGACTTGAATCCACCGATGGACTGGCCGTCGATGAGCTGTTGTGTCTCAAGAGCAGACGGCGACATATACGTGCAAGCAACACGGCGACCTCCCCCATCGACTGCAGCCCCTCGATCGTCCGAAAAATGGGATTCACCAACTCGATTTGCGACGGTCGGTTGCCGTTGCGGTGGTGCAATTCTTGCAACGCAACGGGAAGCCGGTCGAAGCGCGGTTGGAGCTGGGTCATCAACGACACCAGCGTTTCAACTTGAGTTCGAAAGGCTTGAATGCCTTCTTCGTATGTTGGATGAGTCACGTCATGGATGGTAGAAGGAAATGCCGAGTCTAATCGATGGTATGAGGAATCACACACAACGTGGACGACCAACCTGGACGCGAAAGCAAACGGGTCAAGCTGGTGAGCAGCGCATCCACCCGTGCGTTGCGCCCTTGGCGAGAAGAGTTACTTTGAACACGCTGGAGCACACGCTCCATCGTGGAATTTCGTACTGGTGGATCCGACAGCAGCGAATCCACTTGGACTGAACGAGGTGTTGCAATTGATGATGACGGCGATGCACCCTGCGGGCTGCTGAGGGTTGTAGACGCTGCTGCTGTCGTTTGGGCTGTCGGTTGGGCTCCTTCGTTGTTTGCGAGGCCCTGGACAGAGTTCATGATGGTCGAGAGGATGGATTGGAGAAGGGGAACGCTGTGAGCGCCTTCGGGAACTTCGAACGTCGCCATTACTCGTGGGGCGCCAATGTTGTTACTGACGTCTGGGTTTACCAAAGTTGGGTCGGGATCGTCGTTTGACCGGGGTTCATGACTTCGAGGGACGTTCGGCGTTGGGCTCGACGAAGGATTAGCTGACACAGCCCATGCATTGCCTTGATTTCCTTGAGGTGGTGGGGTGATTGTAGAAGGTGTATTGCTTGCAGCCATAGGACTCGCGTCTGCTGGTCGAATCACCAGGTGCAAGGTGTGCCCGTTCTCCAACGCGTAGTGCGCCAGGTTGTTTTCGTTCTTCAGTACCTTCCCGCGAAAGATGAGCCGTTGCCGATCCGTGACAACACCTGTTTCATGCTCGATCTTGGTCTTGAGCTGCGGCACCGACGACGACGCGAGTAGGTTGATCTGAAACTGGCGTTGGTCGACTGTTTTCACATTGAGGGCGATCACGGACGATGCATTTCCCGCAGGAGCGACTTGCGTCACGTCAATCGCCATTTGCACAACTCCCGACGTTGCGGCATCGGACGAGGTGGACGCTTCACGCATCGAGGGGCTGCTTTGCACCGTGCTGTCTCCCGTGGTCGACTCCATCGAGACCAGTGCCCACTCTCCTTTCTTTGTCGTTTAATTACCCGATGGGTTTATCCCGAGTAATCCGGATAATATTATGTCTCAACCGGATTCGAGAATTTCCCAAAACTGCGATGCTTGTCCTGCCGCCGAGGCGTTATGCCGCTTGCGATGGACCTTGTCAAGCGTCATGCGTCTGAACGAACTACGTTTCCGAGTGGTGTATGCACCTGTCCGTCGTACTGGAGGACTAACGCATCGAATATCCTCCCGCCGCGGCACTGTTCCAAAACAATGAGTGTGTCAAGATGAATAAACTTAGGCGGTCACGACTCGCTTCGGGTACACGCGCTTGTACAGGTTCAGGCACACGGTGTCGTGATTCTTGATCGGTTTGTTGAATATGGCCTTGAAATCGCCGTGCGTGCCGAGAGATTCCTTGATGTGGCCGGTCATGCCGTGCTTAGTTGTCAACTCGACCGGCTTGAACCAACGCACGTCGTCCGGCGAGTGAAACATGTACCGAATGACGGCTTTTCGGCGCTTGACGCGGACGGGGGTGCCCGTGATGACGACGCGCTTGAGCACGATGCGGTCGGGGTCGACGTTGAGAAGCGTGCCCGACGCGATCAGCGAGTTCTGGTACACTACGAGGACCGACGCGGGCTGGAACGTGGCAGGGCCGTACACCGACGCGACGGACCATCCGTTCGTGGGAAGGAACCGCTGAAACTTGTGCTTGTCGGCTTTGAGGTTCTGGTCCGAAAAGATCGGACACCCGTCAAAGCGCCGGAAGCCGCAATGGAACGACATGCGGTCCTTCGATTTGACCGGGATGTCCGCGGACGGACCATGGCGCTGGAGCGAAAAGTTGAGCACGGACGCCCGGTTCTCGTGGCGCAGAAGGGAGCTCAATACACACACGCGGTTGATGGACGCGCGGGCGGCCACCGCAGCGGCGGGGACGTTGATGAGGACGAGGGTGACAAAGGAGCCACTGGCCACGTACTCGCCATGGAGGACAGTTTCTTGAGTGCGCTTCCACAGGTCTTCCGCGGCCTTGCCTTCGTCCAGCACGCGTTTCTGGGTCGCTGTGAACGAATCAAACTGGAACAGTCGAGCGTAGTCCATCGGGAGCGATTCCTTTGGGTCCCACGGACTCGTGCGAAAACTCTTCATGCCACGGTATCGCGCAAATCGATCTTTCCCGAGGCTGTCGGCAGGGACGTCGACTTCGTCTGGGAACATTTGGTGCTCGGCCTGGAGCGCCTCGAGTTGCGCCTTGCGGGTTTCATCGTCATCGTCGGCAAGGGACATGTCGTCATCGTCATCGGCTTCCGTCGCGGTGCCGTCGCCACCAACTTTGCAAAACTCTTGATCAGGCAGGTCATTGTCGTCTTCGTCGTGATCCTCATCCATGGCAGCATCGCCTCCATCTTCGTCGTCGACGTTCCACGCGGCCTGGTAGCTCGACATGCCATTGACAAACTGGGCTTCGGTACGGCTGGCCGCAGCTTCCTTGAGTTCTTCCTCCGTGGGCCACGTCTGTTCCGCAGCGAACGTGTCAACTTCCGCTTCGAATTGCAAGTCTTCGCGCTTGGTAGGGTCTGCAGTGGCCAAAATGACGGGCTGATTGCCGTTTTCAGCCGTGGGTTGGCTCAAGATGTGGCTCATTTGAAACGTGCCGATGTCCGTGAGGTGTAGCAGCTGATGTACTGACAACGGACGGCCACGAATGTACCCCGACACGTGCATTTCTTGCGTTTCGGGCACGTACTTTACGTCCATCGCGTGCATGTACGAACGGATTTCTCGCCAATGAAGAAGCTTTGGCTGCGCCGTCAGGACCGCGCGCTGCACTTGCACAGTGCTGTTGCCTTGGGCCACCTTGATCGACTCGCCAAACTCAGTCGTGAAGAAACGATGGCCATACTTTCGTGCGTCGGACTCGGCTTTGCCATGGAGAGTTTCCAACCCTTGAATGACGCCAACAGTCGAGACCAGACCTTGCGCGCGGAGGGCCGACAGAATGGCGTCACCTTCGGGGCCGACAGACGCATCAGGGCCTTGGAACATGGGCAGCACGAACACCAAGATGTCCGCAACCTATGCACAGGTCAAAATTTGTCAAAACGCATCGAGCAGCGACGTCCCAGGCACTGGACTACCTTGGCCATGTCAAGAATGCCAATGAGATCATGGCCACTTTCCAGGATGGACAGCTTTTGCTTGTGTGTGGCAAAGTACGCATTCGTGCACCGACCAATCTGCTTGGCATCGTCCGAGTACTCGACCGTGGTCGCCGACTCGACGAGGGTCGTGCGCAACGCAGCCAAGTCTGCCGAATGCCCGAGCGGAACAAGGGCCACAATTTTGGGTGCGCCTTCCAACCCACCATGACGGTTGCGGTTCCACACGTCCTCCTTTTTCATTTGCTTCCACTGTTTGGCTTTTTGGAGGCGCTGTTGCTTGGTCCCCATGACTGCCGTTTTGGACGGTTTGACCACCGCGCGCTCGACCTTGCCACCGCTCTTCTTCGTCAAGAACGTCTTGGTGTCATGGCGACCAGCTTTGTGCTTCTTGTTCTTTTGCTTGAGCGGCCCCGACCGATGGCGATGGTTGTCGGCCATGATTGACGAAAATGATCTGAATGGATGCCCTGCCACTCTATCAGCCAATCAAATCAGGTCCTTTGGACTTGCCGTTCTTTCATTGGGCATTTCGTCGCGACTTCCTATTGGCCACTCGATGCTCCATTCCATTGGTCGTGGAATTTCTGGGCGAAAATCCGATGGATAGTCTGGCTGGAAATCGATTGTTTACCTCTGGACACACTCACACCCGACCCGACGCCACCACGGACTGCGTCGGTCGCGTGCTGTCGATGACTTGGCGCCAGGTTGCTGTCCCCAGTGAAAAAAGTGTTTTTTATAACAAACAGCTTCCGCGTATGCTAGTATGCAGCGTTTGTCGAAACCCACTACGACGGTAACCGTCTGCCAGCCGGCCAAAGTTACCCCTGGTCCATGAAGGAATTCTGGCGGAGTGCGGTACCGTTATGTTCATGGTCAAGTACATTCGACGGCAGGTAGTCCATTGCTCCATCGACTGGCCTTTGACTACCCGCTGCGTGCGAAGTGTCCATGGGAGGCAACCGATTCGTAACCGATCCAACGTAACGGCCGAACTTGCTGTCGCGTCCGTCTGTCCTGGCACTTCAAACGCCATGGTGCCGTCTGTCGTTCGAGTTGCGTGTGGAGTATGCTTGGTGTAGTTGTTGCCTCAGCATCATCGTCGACGCAGCACGGAGTTCCCCCAAGGCCCTGTTAGCATTCCTCACCTCCACGCTGCCCGAAATCGAAGCCTCGTAGCCGACACTGCTGCATCATTTGGCAGCTGCACTTCAGCAAAACCACAGCCATGCGTGGGCATGTCCGACCTGATGGCGTCCAAGGGACTCTTCAACAGTCTGCGGTGGGTCGGACATCTCGATTCAATCTATTACGAAACAGTCCACGTCCCGTTGACTCGGCTCGCACAATGATGCTCCTCATGCTAGCTGTTCGATTCTGCACATTTCCGGTGAGCGCAAGAGGTCTGCCCAGGTGACTATGGTAACCCAATCCTCGACTCCAGCTAGACATGATGTGGCCCTAATAAACTGTCTCCCTCGTCGCACGTAGTGCATGCTGTACGTCCCCGCCGTTCCTCCATCGTGTCTGTCAAAGCATCGCCGCCCGTGAACGTCATGGTGTGCGTCGGTCAAGGTGGACGATGTGGGACTTGACATCAACCGTCGAAAGCACCTTCGTGCAAGTTTACGATGTTCGCAAACTAGTCCTTGTGGTAGTCACCAATATTTTGGCCGACCGCCTTTGTGGAGTCCGTTGGGAGGAAGGACCGCGCCAGAAGAACGCCGTGAAACATTCGTTTTTCTTCGGCGGCGGAGCCTTTTCATGGTCTTGCTCAAGCTGCCAGCTTGTTCTGGAAATTATTTGGCAACCAAACGCTCGCGGCGGATTTTATTTACGCTGCATATGGAACGAATACTCGTTCTTGCCACTGCCCATCAATCCCTGTCAAAACTGCGGTCTTGACGTGTCGTCTTGAACGTCTGGAGCTTCAGAAGTTTCCAGCACCGATCAAATACCAAGGGGCTTCGATTGTTCGAGAGCTTACGTCCACATATGTGGTCATATTCTGCGGAAAGCACGTAGGCCACGTCGAGGAAATCGGGAGAGATTTGGCTAGTGCTGTATGAACCACGCACTCACGAACGCGACAGAGTCGCAGCAGCGCGCCGAGGGGAATCTCGTGCTCTTTGAAGTTGAATGGCGGGGTGGCGTTTCAGAAAACCCCTCCAGAATCCTTGGCTAGGTCTGTGGTTGGGGCAGTTTGCAAAAGGGTTCGGCCGGTTGTGCCGCGTGAGCTGGGCGATCATTTGGTCCGCTGCCTCTGTTTTCGTCATGTACACGCCATGGGCTTCCTGCTGCATGATCCATTGCTGTGCAACCAAAGCTTCCTCGAACTCGGACAGCTTGAGCTTGGCTCCCGGCTTGCCTCGACGACGCTGCAACGGCTGCATGTGTTGGAAGACTGTTGCGTGTGGAATACTGTTCATGGGTAACTTGAAGTGCACTTCAGTTGCACGTGCTGCACGACGGCATCCGCATCGATGCTCGAACGCAAATTGAACGGCATATTGCAGGTGTGTTTGCTGGTACAACGGGGATGTGCTTGGTGCCACAGCTGAGATGGATTTCGTTCGATGAGATGACGTGATCCGATGCCATCGAGTCAAACGAGTCAGTTTTGATCGATCCACGTGGTGAAGTGCCGCAGCTTCCGCAATCGACGCACCCATCGTGGAGATGTGAGTCCAGGCGACGGAGTACGTCTCACCCAATGTGCAAGGAAGACACGTCCAGCTCCTGGCCTTTATGGAATAAGGCAGCGTGTTGCACATGGAGACAGGAGTCAATTGGCCGCAGACGGCACATTTCAGCCAGGCAGGCTCCGCGGCAGCACGGGTGTCTCCTTGTCGATGATGCATCCCCCACGGATGGTTGGGATGGCACTTTTATCCGGAGTACGTGCCTCTTCCACGTTGCGCGACAAAGCTTTAAATGATATCATGGTCATAATAAAATCAAAATATACATTTTACTTGTAATTTAAAATGTATATAGTCGAATGTTTAATATATTCAACCGTCACCTATATAAATTGCACGCCAGATGCCATGACTGCATACAAAGCAGAGCATCATTATACTAGTGTTTTGTATCAAACAAAACCGTCGACAGTGTTATCCGGATTGCTTTGAAGAGAAGCGATGGCCATTTTCCTTGTCGTCCATGATGGAGCTCGTGTTGTCAGGTGACCGCGAATTTGTGGACGCAGCACGTGCAACAGCCCTCTTGTCGCCGTACTCTCGCTCAACTGCGTTCTCGCGCATCTCTCTTCGCAACAAGAGTTACTCCTTGGAAGCAGCGCAAGTGCTTGCTGAGTTCCTCAAGACTATTCCCGCAGGGTTGACCGTGGCAGATTTGGCCGATATGATAGCCGGTCGGCCTGAAGACGAAGCCCTCTTGGTGTTGGAGCACGTGTGTGAGTCGTTGTCGAGTCACTCATTTGTTGAGATCAACTTGAGCGACAACGCACTTGGTGAGAAGGGTGTCCGCGCTTCGTTTGGGGTGTTGGAGCGCCAAGCCAACCTCGAGCGCTTATACTTGTGCAACAACGGTCTCTCTGCCGAATCAGCCCAGGTTATTGCGGATGTATTACTCTTTCGTGGCGCGAGCGTCCCGACAAAGCTGAAGACGTTTCACTTTTACAACAACATGAGCGGCGACGGCGGCGCCAAGGCCCTGGCCACGTTGTTTCCATCGACTCCGCTCTTGGAAGATCTTCGATTCTCCACCACCCGCTCGCAACGTGAAGGGTGCCGTGTATTTGCCCAAGCACTGACCGTGTTGTCGAACTTGAAGCGCGTCGACTTGAGCGACAATACGTTTGGCGAGGAAGGAGCCACGGTGTTGGCGGAGGCACTGGCGAAACAGTCCAAGTTGGAGGTGCTGAATTTGCGCGATGCCTCCATTGGGGACGACGGTTTGATTGCCATTGCGAACGCCCTTGTGGCGCATCGAGTTACGTCATTGCGTGTGTTGGATGTGTCAGGCAACGACTTGACGGAGGAGTCGATGGGTGCTCTAGCGGCGTTGCTGAAGACGCTTCCGCTGCTGGATGAGCTGCGCATCGAAGAAAACGAAATCGGATCGGGTGGTGCTGCGATCCTTGCTGGTGTATTGCACAAGAAGAGTGTGGCGCCCGCCCTCACGTTGTTTCAATCGAACTCGAACGAACTGTCGAGCAATGGCGGGTACCGCCTGGCGGTGGCCCTGGCGACGAAGCGGCAGTTGAAGGCCGTCGAGATGGACGGAAACATGTTCTCGGACGACGCTGTCGCCAAGATCCAAGCAGCCCTTCCATCGGGCGTGCTTGGTTCGTTGGAGGACAACATGGAAGACGATGACGATTTCGACGACGACATTGCCGACTGGAGCGACGAAGAAGTGGAAGCAGAAGACGACAAAGTCGACGAGCTCGCGGATGCGTTGTCGCGAGTGGCATTGGGCAAGTTACTGCTGGAACATTTGTTGGTCGAGTCATTCTCCTAAACGATGTGCGTGGGTGTCGTGTAGATGTCCTGCGCTTTGACGCCGTTCGTGAAGTCGTGGACGCGGCGCGGGCCAAGGAATTGCTCGCGCCATTTCAAGGTCGCACAACATTCCACACGATTTCGCTGCGTGGAAAGAGCTACACCCACGCCGGTGCGGCCGTGATTGCCGACTATTTGCGTCACATCCGTGGGATTAAGGTTGCCGACTTGGCCGACATCATCGCCGGCCGGCCCGAAGACGAAGCCCTCGTGGTCCTCACGACCATCAGCAAGTCGTTGGTCGGCCACGTCCTCGATGAAATTGACCTGAGTGACAATGCGTTGGGCGAAAAAGGCGTCCGCGCCTGCTTTGACGTGCTCATTCCCCAAACGACTCTAAAGCACTTGTCGTTCTGCAACAATGGCATCTCGGCCGCCGCGTCCGCCGTGATCGCGCAGGAAGTGGTGCTCCAACAAGCCGGCGTCGCCAAGTCGTTGGAATCGTTCCACTTCTTCAACAACATGAGCGGGCACGACGGCTGCTTGGCTGTTGCAGCCATGTTGTCGGGATGCCCAAATCTCAAGTCGTTCCGGTTTGCCAGTGCGCGAGCGGGCGCGGCCGCTAGTTTGCAGTTGGCTCTCAGTATCGGCCAACACTTGCGTCATCTCACGTCGCTAGACCTGAGCGACTGCAGCTTTGACGACGAAGGTGCCGTTGCGCTGGCGACCGCCATTTCCAAGCAAACACAGCTCAAGGTGCTGAAGCTCCGCGATGCGTCTCTCGGTTCTAAAGGTAAGCTTGACTCGAGACTGCTCGATGAATCGTTGTTGACCATGATGCAGGTGCCAAATTGATTGTGGCCGCCCTGGCGTCGGCTCAAATTCAACTGGACAGCTTGGACTTGTCGGGCAACGAGCTAGAAGACCAAGGTCTAATCAACATGATCGGCGGCGGCAACTCTGGACGACTGCTGGACAGTCAAGTCGGCTTGAAGGTGCTGCGTTTGGATGAGAACGAAGTCACGTCCAAGGGATTAGCCGTCTTGGCTGATGCACTGCACGGTCCTTTGCCCTGGGCGGCCGCGTTGGAGGAACTCAGTCTGTACGGGAACGAAATTACCGCGAGTGGGGCCGTGGCTGCCGCCAAGGCTGTGGCGGACAAGGCGTCCCTGAAGCTCCTTCAGTTGGACAGCAACATGATCTCGTCCGTCGGGCTTTCCAAGTTGCGTGCGATTCTCGACCAGGCGGGCAAAGGGCATGTGCTAGGTCCCATGGACGAAAACGACCAAGATGCAGAAAGCGACGACGGGTCGGAAGCCGACGAGGATGAGTAGAGTGAACTTAAATGATGGGAACGTAACGACTCTTCCCGTGTTTCCATTCCCTCAGACTTGGTTTGCATTCGTGTTTGATCATACGTGATGTGGCTCTCTCACAACACCAACATCTAGCTAGCACATGACTTCATCGAGCAAGTCCTGGAGCATGGCGTCGTTGACACCAGCGTCGACATCGTCGGCGTCTTCGGGGTCACGCTTGGGGGCATCCATGTGGGCTTTGCGGCGGGTGTTGGGGCTCACTTGTTGCTTTCGAAGCGGCAGACATCCCGTCGCCGTGACTGTTGGCTGGTTCACTCTGCACTTGTAGTCGTTGTCCACGTCCTTGTCCCCCCACAATGTGGTGGCGGACGTTTTCTTTCGCTGGGCAACGTCCGCAGAGTCCCCCTTCTTGTCTTCTTTGCACGGGGCAATCAGGGTTGCTGCAGATGGCTTGGCATCTGCTGTCGTCCCCGACCGTGCCGTGACGGGCATGAAAAAGCGATATTGCAGCGCCTGGGCGGCCGTTGGACGGCGGGTCGAGTCGTACTGGAGTAAGTCCACCATGAGTTGAATGGCAGCTGGACTGGCGTTCGGAATAGCCATCTTGAGGGGCACTGGATTGCACTTGGGGAACTTGAACTGCATTTGAGACACCATCGTGACCCCCTCCGGCCAAGTCTCCTTGGTAGGCGTGCCAAGGATCGCGCAGATGCGGCACATCTGGTCCGCCTCGGACGACCCTGCAAAAAGTGGTTTGCCCAGGTAGAGCTCGGCCATGATGCAACCACAGGCCCAGAGATCGATGGGTGAGTTGTACGTCGTCGACCGAAGGAGGAGCTCCGGGCTACGGTACCATCGCGTCGACACATAATCCGTGAAGGGCGGCCGCGATCGGATTTCCCGGGCCTGGCCGAGGTCGGCAACCTTGAGAACTTCGATGCCACTGCTGCACAGACAGTTCTCCGGCTTGATGTCACGGTGAAAGAACCCGTGTTTGTGCATGTAGGCAAGGCCCGAGAAGAGCTGGGACATGATCGCGCGAACCTGCGGCTCCTTGGCGTTGTTCTTGCGCATCCATGTGAAGAGGCTCGTCTCCATGTACTCGAACACAAAGTACAGTTCGGCTTTGTCCCGGATGACTTCTTTCAGCTGGATGATGTTGTCGTGGCGAAGAACCTTGAGCGACTTGAGCTCGCGCAGCTGCAGACATTCTTCCCACGTCGGGAACAACATCTTCAGCTTTTTGATGGCCACGACTTCGTTCGTCTTGAGGTTGCGTGCCTTCAGGACTTCACCATACGCGCCATCCCCTAGCCGGTCCAGGATCTCGTACCTGTTCATCCGATACTCCTTCGGCACAAGTCCCGGAAAACCGCCGGCGGTTACAACTTCTCCACCACCACCACGACGCCAACAAGTCCAGACGACCGCCGTCACATTCACACAAGGAAGAAAGCGATCACATCTGTAGCCCGTGCCCCCCCCTTAGGGCACACGTAGCTAGACTTAGCTAGCAGCCCATGCGCGCGAATGTTATCATCGTATCGTCACTACGTTTAAATCGAGGAGTACGCATCACCTTGTCGCTGCTGCGACCACCAGCCACGCCATGCTCGTCATGCATGCGCAACCGTGACCTTGAAGGCCAAGCGAGCTGCGGCCTCCGCCACAACACCGGCGTACATGCATGACAGGGTTTGAATTTCGCATGTCGAGTTGCAACGATGTTGGTTGTTAGGAGTTTCCTCCTTCCATTGTAGATGATGCAGTGTAGAGAGATGGCACCTGACTCGATCACTGTGACAGCAACGGCTTGTCCATCGAGTCGACCCCCAGTGCCTGACCGTGTTACGTCGACTCGATGTGACAGTGATTGTTCAAGCAATGCATGGGCTGAAGACATGCAAAGATCATTGGCAAAGATGGCGCACGGCAACGTGGCGCGACTCCTCAGCTGAATCACACTGTGGATCGACAAGCTGTACAATACGTAAAGTCCACATGTCAGGCAGTTGAGACCTTTGCCTTCTTAGAGTCGTTGGGGCATCTTGTCGCAGGACATGGATTGGGTCGAGACAGCCAACACCGTTGAGAAAGACCTTTCTGTTGCCATGTCCCATTTCGTCCAGGTTGCATTGGCGAGTGCAGTTGCCAAAATGACTGCATCGCCCGAGACGTGTGCTTCGGTCCAGTCGCCCGAACGCTGCGACTTTGTGCTTGATCTTCCCCATCTTCGTTTCCCGTCGTCCCCCATTGACGGTGGGTTCATCATTCGAGTGTCGTCGACGGCCCATGTCGACAAGAGCCCCCACGCCGTCCTGGAGCTCGAGTCCAAGCGCCTCAAATCAAAATGGTGAGGCCAAGTACTTGTTGGATGCTCTGCGATGTTTCTGATGGGTCGCAGGCAATGCATCGTGAAGACGTTCGGGGAGTTTTGCCCCCAAGGTGTGGAGCTTCCGCAGAGCCTCCTCGTGGCAAATCTCAAGGTGCACGGAGGAATCGAGCGATTGCGATGTCATCGTCCATTTTAGGTTGCCTGCGAGAAACAAGGCCGCCCCGTCACTCCGCTTGACACTACTGCTCTGGCGTGGGTTGTGCCGATGACGGTGGGCATTCGTTGACTTATCTCTCACCCCTCGTACTACTCATGAATGCCTAGATGTGGCTACCATCCATGGCACTGCACACCACGCGAAAGACGATGGTGGATTTGACGCGGTATAGCCACGACAACCTGTCTTTGGACCTGCATACGACGATCTTTGACGAGCAGGCGCTCTGCTTTTCGTTTGTCTTGACACCCGTTGCCGTGACGAGCCTGGACGTGTTGAATGCGAAATTGCACGATGTTCAGACCGACTTGATCCGCCTCGAGCGCTCGATGGAGGTCAAGAAGTGCTTGTTTGCTGTTGCGGTGGTAGTGTTGGCTTGTCTGGTCTGTGCGGGACTGGTTGGTTTGGCCGTGAACGCCACTGCTGGCATCCATGCTTGGATTCAAAGTTTGATTCAGCACGGCACTGCCAAGCCAACTTCGACTTATTACAGCATCCAGTGCGACCGCGTCTGTTTGTGGCCATTTGTAGGAGTGGCTTCTTGGCCCGCAGAAAGCGAGTGCCGCCTCTTCTTTCCATTGCGTTGGTGTCGTGGGTAGTGCGTGCGATGTCCGCCCGACGAACCACCAGCGAGAGTGGCGGCGGCGGTCGTTGTTACGAGGCATTTGTTCACAATGAAATGGGTGCAATATCTTTGCTGCTGTCCACGTCATTGGCAACTTAGTTCTTGGTCGTCTCGATCGTGGTTGACGCTGCCGCGGCGTAGGCTGGAGCGCTGCGACGGACTAGGATGTTGCCTACCGCTTGACAAGTTGCTTTGTCATTTTACTCAGCCAATGGCCCCTGAATTTGCCATGACGACACCAACAGATTGTCCAGCTTCATAAAGCAAAAGAACGATATCATGAATGCAATGACAGCACTGCTACAAGGAAGAGGAGGGGGCTTGCCATCGGGGATGCGGTTGAAGACAATGGTGGCCTGGTTGCGCCAGGGCGATTTGTAAATGCATTGGCTGGCGGGGCTGCATCAAGGTTTTCTGTTGTTGTCGGAGGTGCCATGGTCGTTGTCGCAACGATGCGGGTTGATGGTTCGACGGTGGTTGTGGGGTTGGAAGTCTGGACTGCCCGTGTCGGGCCAACGGTTGCTGGTGTCTCTGGGACGGGTGTCATGGTGGGAGGCATCGTGATTGGCTTCACGGGTGGCGTCTCAGCGTCGCGGGACGCGCGAGAGCAGTACACTTTGTCGCCGAAGACCGATTGCAGCTGCGAGTTGATCAGGTCCATGCCTTGCGTGGCCAGGAAATTCCCGGCCGAGTCCTTGACGCCTTGGATAACGGACTTTGTGATGTCGGCCACTTCGAACGTGTGGCCCATGACGTCAATCGTGAGCGAAATGCCAGGCAAAATGGTAGCGTCCGAGATCGCAAACGCATGCAAAAACGGCGCACGTTCGCTGCATTTGGCAGTTGCAGTCATCGCGACTGTCTTTGCCGTGCCGCAACAAGTTTTGGTCGAATCGAGGAACTTTGCACAGCCCAGGGAGCCTGCGCATGCCTCGACAAGTAGACTCGCGGGAAGCTGAGCAAAGTACAGTTTGAGACTCAGTGTCATGGCTCCGCTACTTTCGTCAAACTTGACGGCAACGTCATCGAGTCGCATCGTATTGAGACCCGAAATCCACCGCGCCTTGACATGGTAAAACGTTTCCTTCACTTCGTACAGGTTGCCGACGTTCGTGCAGTTGGATGGCGCATTTCCTTCCTTGCAGTTGCCTATGGTTGCGGGAAGATTCGCTTGAGCATACCCAGACAGCAACGGTTTGTACGCGTCGAGCAGAGTGGACAACACGTCTGGGAGAACAGGCGGGCCCACGTCTACAAGCTGGGCAGAAGAATGGGTGGCAAGGAGCATGGTCATGCCGGTAGCGATCATCCATCGCGGCATGAGCATGGTCGACCTCACGGAAACTTGGATTGTGGCGTCGCTCGCAGCAAGTTTGTTGCCTTGGATCAAACAGTTGCAATCTTCCAGCGTACACGTTATTCAATTATTTCGACCAGTTAACTTCATGTAAAATGATTGTACTCCTGCTTTAACTCGAAGATTGTATAGGAACTAAAAATAGGAGAAATATTCAGGGTATTAATACGAAACAATTATTCTCAACGGGAGAGAAAACCCAGCGACAAAAATCTTGGAAAAATGCTGGCAAAAAATTCAGCAGGTCGAAGTTCGAAGTTCGTGAAAACGGCTCTCGCGCTGGATGCCATCCATGGCACGGCGAGGACAAAGCTAATTGTTTCGAATGGCTTGAAAGGCGCGCGTATAGCTACCTCACATACGCGCGATAACTAGTGCGGCCGCTGCTGCGCAGGACGCGACCAAAGCTGTGGACGCTGCGGACGTGGAGGCAGGATTTAACGTCGTCGAACGTGGCGATGGTGTGCTGCCGCTGATGCTCGCGTCCGTAGACGGCGACGTCGTGTTTACAGGAGGCAACGTCGTGTTTACGGGTGGCGCCGGCGTTGTCGTGGCGGCGGTCGTTGTCGGGGCCACCGTCGTAGTCTGGGAATCTTTCGACCGCTGCGTGCAGTAAATTTTGTCGCCAAAAAGCTGTTTGATCTGGTCGTTCAACAGGTCCACGCCGTTCGTAGACAAAAACTTGCCAGCCGCGTCCTTGAGTCCCGATTCGATCGACGGCGTCACGTCGGCAACTTTGAACGGCTTCCCAAAGATATCAATCTCAACGTTGATTGCAGGAGTGATTTTGGCCTGCGTCAGTTCAAACCCCGTGACGAATGGGTACGCCTCGCTGCACTTGGCCGTAGCCGTCAAGGCAACGTTCTTGTCGGAACCGCAACAGGATTTTGTATTGTCCAAGACCGTGGTGCACCCGAGAAACCCACCGCAGCCCTTGACGAGCAAACTCACAGGCAACTGCGCAAAGTTGACTTGCAGTGCCAGAGACATCGCTCCGACGTCATCAAACGTCATCTTGAGATCGGTCAAGCGCATAGAATTGATCCCAGACGCCCATCGCGCACGCACTTGATAAAACGTCGACTGTGTATCGTACAAGTTGCCCATCTCGGAGCACGGAAGTGGAGGGTTTGCTTCGCCGCAGTTTCCAATCGAGGCGGGGAGTTGTGACTGGGCAAAGTCGGTCAAGAGAGGCTTGTACGCTTCAACAAGTGTAGAGAGCACATCGGGGAGAACGGGAGGACCCAAGCCGATTCCGCCCTGGGCCTGTACGAACGATGCGGCAATCGCGATCGAGGTGGCGACTCGCATGACGACTCGCGGAGCTTGAGTAGAAATGACCGTGGTCGTGAGTCAAACGTGTAAGAAGTGATTTTTTTTGGGTCAACAACTATTACTGAAAATTTGTATTCATCCTTATTAAATTGCGCTTGAAAATCATGGTTTGTCGCTGTTCGAACTTCGATTCACACCTCTTCCTTGCTCATTCTCGCATGTTGCTGGCGAACAAGAACAAGGTTGTCGTTCTTGCCGCCGTCGTGGGGTCTGCCGCCATGGTGAACGCACAAGAGGCAGGTCCACCACCAGTTCTCCCTCAAGCTCTAGGCACCCTTGTGGATACGTACAAGCCAATCCTTGCTTCATTTGCTGCCACGGCGCTGCCCGCAACGGTTGGCAACTGCTCTGCGGCGAACGCACCAACTCCATGCACCAACATTGGCAACCTCTTCAACACGACCTCCTCCCTGTACAACGTCGAAGCTCGATGGATCTCAGGACTCAACACCCTCAGCGTGGACAAATTGACCCTCACATCCGACCCCAACGGTACGATCACTATCGACGGCGCCGTCAGCTTCAAGAACTTGCCATTGAGTCTCAAAGTCGAAGCGTGTTTACCGGGTGTTGGTTGCAACAAGATCGCAGACGACACTTCCACGTGCTGTGGCACATCGAAGACCGTCGCGGTCACCGTGACCACCGTGTGCAGCGAAGAGTACCCTTACCTGCGGAACTTGACAATTACTCAAGCCAAAATTATTCCTTCCCTCGACATCATGCTCAACATCTCTGGGAAACCGACTAAGGTGTTTGACGCAACGACCACCGTCGAGACCGAGCTCAAGAAGCAGGGCTCGGTGATCATCGCCACCCAAGGCTCAACTCTAGTGAACGAACAACTGAAGAACTTGTACGGAAACCGCGTTTTTTGCACAGCCGAAGCTCAGAAGAAGTGGCTGGATGCAAACCCGCCTGCTTCATTAGAACCTGCGGCAACTCCCGTCCCGCGCGCTAGTCGGACTCCTGCTCCCAGTGCGGCATCGTCGTTCTCTGTTGCGGGGTGGGCCGTGCTCATGTGTATCATTGCCTTTGTGGCTTAACGAATGCATACATTCCGTTGTGTCCCACCATGCTTCGTGCTCTAGCGCAGCAGCGAATTTTATCGTGTGCATGACGCAGCTGACTCCCTCGCTTGCCACACCTCCGAGCTCGACAAGCGCCGGTCTTCGTCAACCGCACCGAGATAAATTCGCCGCATGGTAAAAAACGCCTTTTGGTTGGGATCTGTATCTCAACCAAAATGAATGATGATTGCGCTAAATATTCCAATTGGATATAAACAACACGCTAAACGTTCTAATTGGGTGTGCAGTGTTTCCTCCCAGGTGTGATGATGGACAAACACTGAATATTGCTCGGGGCGGCGTGCGGGAATCAGCGGCACTTCTCCCTGAACGATGCACGGACCTTTGTCGCTCGCAGCAGCCTTGTTGGCGCTTCTGCCTTTCAATTCCCTTGTGTCGTGTTCCATGAACGACGCGATCGTCCTCGACGCCCCAGTGCTGCCTGTCGTCATGGGTACAGTCTTGGATGCGTACAAGCCGCTTCTAGCTGAATTTGCAAAGAAATCGTTGCCCGCGACGGTGGGCAACTGCTCCGATTCAAACCCTCCCACTCCGTGCATGGACACGGGGTATCTTCTCGCTCAAACATCGGCATTGTACGACATCAAGGCGAGATGGATTACTGGGATCAATGCTGTCAACGTGGGCAATCTCGAATACGCTGCAGATGTCGCGACAGGTGCGGTGACGTTGAACGTGATCTTGGGCTTTGAGTCCCTCCCGCTGAGTCTGCGCATTGATGCTTGCCTCGCCGGCAAATGCACAAAGTTCTCAGATGGAACGACTGCGTGCTGCGGCGGTCCCAAGACAGTCGCCATCGCCGCCAAAGTTTCGTGCAGTGAGTCGTACCCCTTTCTCCGTAACTTCACATTTACCAAGATCGAAATCCGACCGTCGGTGGAGCTCCAGTTTCCTGTGAATGGCAAGCCCACGACATTGTTTGATGTGACCAAGCCTGTCGAATCAGGCTTGAACGCCACTGCCGCCGCGTTCATTCAAAAGGAAGGCATGGACCTTCTCAACAGCCAAATCAAGGAACTGTTTGGAACCAAGGTGTATTGCACACAGCAAGCCAAGGATGCTGCCACGAAAGCGCCCACTGCAGTACCATCGTCCACTGCATCTCCTGAAAGTTCTTCGGCAAGTCCCCCGTCCCCGTCGTCTTCGTCGTCAGGTACATCGTCTCCCAATGCCGATGCTCCCGCGACGTCCGTTCCTTCGCGAACTTCCCCCGTCCCAGCTTCCGCAGCGGTGGCACCAATTTTCTCCGTCGCGTTCACGCTGGTGTTCATGATTGCGACGCTGCTGGTCCTCGATACATGCTAATCAACAGCAGTTGTATTCTTAATGTACGAGATCCCCGCACACTCTAGTGATGCTTCACACAGCCACCCACATTCGACTGAAGAGCATGTTACATTCGTGTCATTTCATCGCTGCGCCAACTCGTTGGCGCCCTGGACCAGTTCCGGGCGACTTGTCAAGGTGGCTTCATCCGTCGTTCCACGCATAAATCGATCACCTACATGGGCAGAGATGTCGCGAGGGCAAGGAGTCGCACGGCGTCCTGCATGATGCTGCGCTGAAGCGAGTGAATTGGGGATGCGCAACATTGATTTTGTTGCATGAATGCACCACCTCGTACGGGCACAAGCAGGGCTACTTGGCCTCGACTTTGTCGGCGACACAATCAGGAATATTGATACATTCCTTCAGCATATAAGATTGTACGGAGGCGAATCGAGATAGTACTTATCGTCGGTTCGAGCCACGGCCGCCTCGTCCACTATGGGGAGGTCGTCCATCGCCACCACGTCCGCCTTGGGCTGGGCCGCCACGCTGTTTGTTGAATGCCGCAGGATCCGGCTGGACTTTTAATCCCATGCCCTGTAGCCCCATCTTGACAATCGTTTTCTTGAGCAGCGCCGGGACATCTGCCAGTCCAATGATGCGACTGTAGTCAGCAGCCATCTCGACCAACTGGATCTTGTCCATGCGCAACCGACGCATGTTGGAATTGTAAAATCCGAGCCACGCTTGGTACGCTTGTTCGGCTGCCAGGCGGAGGTCGGTCTTGGTTTGCATTTGGGCGAGAATCGGGGCAATGCGGGGTGGGGGACCCGCCGGCGGCGATTGTACTGTGAGTGGCACGTCCTTGAGCTCCTTAAGAAACGGACTTTCAAACGGCGACAGGAGAAGGATGCCTTGGCCGTCCTTTCCCGCTCGTCCCGTGCGCCCCAATCGATGAATGTACTGTTCCTTGTCCGTCAACCCCACTTGCACGACGAGTGTGACGCCAGGATAGTCGACGCCGCGGGCGGACACGTCGGACGAGAACAAAATCTGGTTGTCTTGGGTGCGGAACACGTCGGCGGCTTTCGTGCGGTGGGACTGCGACTTGCGCGAGTGCATTTCGAGAATCGGATACTTGGCCGCAAGGAAGAGCTGTGCCATGAACCCGGCGGCGCGGGCCGTCGGGAAAAACGCAATGATCTTGAATCCGTCGGGCGAGTCTTGGATATGTGCGTGCATGAGCTTGTCCAGGACAGCGATGTGGTCCTCAAATGGACACGTGACCACGCTCTGGTTCACATGCGCGTTTGTCTGTTCTTCTTCGCCGACCGTGTCGATGAAGACGTGGCCAGGCTTCAGCGCCAGCCGCTTGATATGATCCAATGATTCGGGCAACGTCGCCGAGAATAGCAACGTTTGTCGCTGCGTCGGCAAAAACGCGAGCAATTTTTCAATGTCACGGCGAAACCCCATGTCCAACAACCGGTCGGCTTCATCCAGCACGAGCACTTGAATCGCAGCAATGCGAGCGACGAGATCCTCGTTGTTGTTAGTCAAATGATCTTGCAAACGACCGGGTGTCGCCACCAGGATGTCGATGCCGTCAGCATGGCGCAAGCGGCGCAAATCTTGGTTCATGGACGTCCCCCCGACAAAGCACGCCACGCGGAATGGATGGAACGTCGATAGCTTCTTTGCTTCCACGTCGATTTGAGACGCCAATTCGCGCGTGGGGGATAAAATGAGCGCAGACACGACCCGCTTGGTCGGCGAGGGAGTCGAGGTCTTGTGAAGGAGCGCTTCAATCGTAGGCAGGAGGAACGCCATGGTTTTACCCGTCCCGGTCTTGGACTTGGCCAGAACATCCTTTCCTTCGAGGATCACGGGAAGCGTGGCGGCTTGCACCTTTGTGAGGAACTCGTAGTTCATCACTTGTGTCAAGGCACGCATGGACGAGTCTGAGATGTCCAAAGATGACACGGGCACGGAGCTTAAGTGCAAAACAGAAGTTGTCTCGGAGTTGCGTGGAATGGGAGCTGGAGGTGGTGCTGCTACAGGCTTGACTTCCTCCTTGCTGTCAGTACGGCGGATCTTATGTGGGGTCGATGGTTTTCCCTCCTTGACAGATAGTCGACCGATATCCACTTCTTGGGGCGGTGAGTTGTCATCGTCCAGTTTGTTTTCCTTGCGCTTCTTGCGCCAGTGGTTGCGGTTGCGCTTGGGCTTGCCGGCAGCGGATGCGCCAGCTTGACTCATCCTTGGCAGCTTCGAGATGTTGAAATAGGATCATTGGAAGCCACGTTGAACTTTTGGTGGCCCCACCATCCATCAGATCCTTGAATATTCAAAAACCCTATTGACAGAGTGATAACACAGGTAGTTTTATGGTGTTCATCGCCCTTTGGGTAAATTACCCTATATGACACTATTGGATCTTGGTAACAGTTCATGGCTACCGAATGAGGTAATCTACTGGATCGCAAGGGAATGCGTCCCTATTTAAAATTCTCTCGATTACAAGACTTTTCTCATTCGACGACGACATTTCATGATTTTTTTTAACAAAAAATTGCACCAACGAAAAACCCAACAAGAAGTATAAACTTGACCAGTTTCCTACACAAACTAAAATTCGATGTCAAAAATCAAGTCGAGGATATACAATTAACTAAAATTCGATGTCAAGTATCAAGTCGAGGAAATACACAGTGATTCCTCAACCAACCTGTGGCCTTCCACCTTACCTCATGCCATTCAATTCTGCGTTTGCTCAACTGATCCCTTCAGCCAGTCTCCTTTTAAATTAAACATGTGTGATATCTTTGCCCTTGTCTCCCTCAGAAAATCTATACTAGTAACCAATAAAATACACTCATGTCAATAGTAGAGATATGTCGCCAGTAATGTGGAAAAAGACTGTTTTTCAAATGTCGCCAGATGTATGGAACAGAGGAAGTAGAACATCAATGTAAATCATGCATGATTTCATGTACCAGGTCGCGAAAGCCCATTTGGAAGCCTCCCAAAAATGCCTCAGACTGCATCTCAGACATGGTTATATTCGGATGTGAGAACCCATTTGGTTGGATGTGATGAAATCTGAGGTCGCTATCCGGTTTTTTGGCAACCAAAAATGCATTCACATAGCCCATTCACCTCCCCCAACATGCACCTCAAACTTCTTGTCCTTGCCGCTCATGACGTAAACAGCGTGAGAATGTGCTCACACAAATGCTCCTGCTTCGTCTGCGATCCCATCTCGTGAACGAAACTGCATTCGATCCCTGGCACTGTATGAAGATCAGCTCCAAAGTCCTTGGTACGTCATGCACCATAGCCGCGACATACCATCGTTTATTTCTGCGGTGTCAATTCCTCCTACAGCCTTCGATGCCTTGTTAGAAGTGTTTCAGCGTCATTACAAAACAAACTCTGGATACGGACGAAAGGTCAACTGCTGGTGGGCACGATGGATCCCCAGTTGGCTTCTTTATGGCCTTCAGGAACGTGTATTTGCGCTTGCATGGTTCCCAATCTCGTGTGATGGCGACGCTGGGGTTGGCGATGAAGAGTTGGGAGACCTTGGACCATCCATTCTGACCGAGAGGACAAATGTCCTCGACGCAATCGAGTAGTATGTCGACGTCGTCTTCACTCCAGTTCGGAGCTGAGCGTTTGTTTGCAGGCTTGAAGACCATTGAATTCTGAGGTGACTGTCGAAGACCAAAAAATGGTCTTCGCACAATCTGAGGTGGTCTCAGATTGGCCTAAATCACTGGTCTTAGTTAATCATACATTTCGAGTCTGAGGCATTTTTGGGAAGCCTCCATTGGCTAAAAATACCACAATATCTTCTTGCAGATTGAGTGCTGCGACAAACTTAATAAAACGAAATTGTAAGGAAGTGCCACGGGGGACACACACAAACACATTTTTCCGTCACTCACTGTGTCCTGTGCGTAAGCCTCGGCAAGACAGGGCATGGTGAAATATTAACCCGGAAAAGCTGTAAAAGGTAAGGGTACAGGGTACAGGTGAAGGGCCGGGTAAAGGTTACCCCATCAGAATTACCCCGTAATATTTACCGGGTAATCAAATCACCATAAATGGGAGCTGCCGTAATAAAAAGCGGCGACAAAGACGACCAATGCATGTCCATCAGCACTGTCGTCAGCAGTACGGGATACTTTGACCTCCGGGGCAATCCAAGTCGCTCTCAGGATTTTACCAGCTGTCATGGTTATACACAACCGGTAAATCGGTACCGTCAGAGCGCGCAACTGACCGTGAGGTCATGTGAACCAGGCAGTTCATGTCATCCTCAGTCGTCACCACGACCATGTGCCTGCACTAGTGGATGAACGCCAACATCCTGGATAATCCGGTGAATCGTGCGTGAGAAGGCTTCGGCCGACAAGGGCAAGCTCAATTACTAAAGAACTAAGCTAAAAGTAATAAAGTCACCATCAACTCATAAACCTTTTGTCGGTAATTGCTGGGTAATCCCCGGGCAAAGGCGAAAGGTAAAAGTCTTGCTTTGAGTGAAGGTACAGGAAGGTTAAGTTACAGCCAGATATATTATTGTACCCGGCATCCTTTTACCTTACGTTGCCTAAGCTTAGCCGCGCGTCGATCGGTTTGCAGGAGGAGGCACTGAACGA